AGCCGGGGCAGTGGCAGCGGGCTGTGCCTTTAAGCCTGTCTGGTGTATTTTTAGAAAGCATAAATAGGCTGCATTCTCCCACTTGCTCACTATCCAAGACATAAAGGAAGGGCTTTCTGCTTTCTTCAAGTCTCCTTCCCCTGCTGGCACCATGTAAGTCTGTCTTTTAAGCAGTACAGGTCCACAGCCCCTTTTTTTTTTCGCCCTTTTTTTTTTTTTATTGAGAAGCTGCAGAACTCTAACCGGTGGTTCAATAAATTGTATTACATCCCCTTCGTACTGAATGCCCTACAAGCTTTGGCTTTCCATGTGTAATTGCAAGCTGTTATTAGCCCAGAGCTTTGTCCGTTACTGTGCCACACTATTGCTGAGCGGTCAATTTTTTTCCCCTGCCATTTCCTTTGCTCACACCATGCTGACCACGTTGGCCAGGGGCTGCCCGAGGTTTATAGTGCAGCATTGATTTTTCTTTTCTCTCAATACTGACAGAATCATAGATCCAAGGCAAATAAAGAAATGCATTCTGTGGTGATGAAATGTCTTTCGTTCAGCCTGGATTGAATCAAAGGCCATCACAGAAATGTTCTACTCTAAAATGCTAGTGAAGCTTAAGGCATTGTTGGAAAATGAATTTTCCATTTTCTTAGCTGTAATTTGGATTCTCAAATCACTGTGCTAAAAATAATCAGATAAAATTGAATATAGACTACAAGCCTATGTAAAATGTTATTTGTTAGGTTTTTGCAAGCTGCTGCAGCTGATATGAAAGGAATCTGGCAATAGATCAGAAAAGTAATTGCTTAGGTGGGTTTCTAGTAAGTATGTTGCATTACTCTGAATACCAAGGTATAAGATGCCTGCTCTATAATTCATACGAAGCATGGGAAACAACCAAACCATAAAGATACATCTTGCATACATACTGGAGGGAGAAATTTCTAGCAAAAAAAAAAAAAGTTATCACCTTCTGTCACCTACATCTCAATGATGAGTATTTTTACTTTAATTTGGGGGTGTCAAAGGACTTTTTTAGGTGGGCAAGTGTCACTGTCCCCATTAAACAGATAGAGAAATAAAAGCAAAAAGAGCCTGTGGAGACAGAATAAAGTCCCACAGTGAATTTCTGGTGGGGCCTGGAAGAGAACTTCAATCCTCAGAAGCTTAATACCACTTTGAAGGCAAAATAAAAATAGCCATGACTTTAATTCTATGTATGTTATGGGAAGGGGTCACTCTGTATGATACTCTCACCACCACAGGCTGTTAGAGACAAGAGTGGCCCCAGTCTGCCCAGTTGGCTGTACTGGCACTTCAGCTGTCCATGGAGAAGGAGCACCTTTAGTAATTTTTAGGCAAATGTCATTTGTCATTGCACAAAGCCAGTTGAGTAATTTTCTTCCTCTTTTCTGTATTTTCAAGACTCAAGACTTAATATCTGGTGTATGCAGACATTAGAAATTTAACCCAACTCACCATTAAGGGTGACAATACTTTCCTCCTTGAGAGCAAACAAGTAAATTGTGCAGAAAGACTGACCAGAGGATCCTTTTGTCCTCCCCATCACAGGGCATGGTGCAGTTTCCTCTGTAGCCCTGCAAAGGTAAAACCCCAACTTCCAGAGGCTCCCAGGTTGAATGTCACCTTGTCTGGCAGTGCAAAATGTTCTCTGACTCTGCACCTCAGGGAGATCCTGTGTGTTTTAGTGAAAAGCTAGGATTATAAAAAAAGGGGGGGGGGGGGGGACGACACAAACAAAAAAGAGGGGAGGGGAAGGTACTGGAGGACAGAAAGAGCAGGCTGTTTATAAATGAAATTAGCAGATGGAATTGGCAAAGTTAAAACTACAAATTGGAAAACTAAATATATTTGAACGTAGCCCCTGGGCAACACTGCATTAATTCCCTGGCTTTGGACCTTCCTTTTTCTCCTTTCTTAATGACTACACATCCGATATCAATACACACTCTTTACAGCTGTTTCTTCAGCATCACATTCCCAGCAACACACAATAGGTCTTTACATTGCATAATATGTCAGATTATTTTTCACCACTGATGATCCCAAGAAACCTTCTTAAAAAAGAAACCAACCTTTTGGAATCCAGTTCAGGGTTTTATCCAACCTGAAATGCTTCTGACCACTGAGAAACTAAATAAGTTAATATAGAAAACCTGTCAAATCCTAAAATCCTTCCTCCATCCCAAAGTGTGAAAGAATTTTCCCTACAAAATTTCCCAGAAGGTTCCAGTGTGACCGAATCTGTGTTACTCACTGTAAAAGCCTTTGTTGTACAATGGGCTATGTGGCTTTCGCCTGTAATTTTGAAGGACACTCCACAGTGGAAACAAAATCAGGGTTAGCTCCCTCCCATTTGTCTTCCCAATTTGATTCTCCCCTAAGGTTCAGAAACACTTGAGAAACCCATTACTTTATTTTCCTCCCATTTTGTCCCACTAGAGCCTTGTGGTGTTCAGCGATACGTAAAACTATAGCAAAGGCACCTCTGCAAGTTGACCTGAAATCAGTTGCAAATTGGATCAGAACCTGAAGAGTGTAGATCTATCTAATGATCCTCTGTATTGGACCTGGAATGATTTTCATGTCTTGCACCTGATACGGATATCATTATACAGTTATAACTGTTCCAATTCTTGGAACAATTAACTTGATCTTTTGCTTGCTGACTCTCCTGATGCAGATCAAGGATAGACTTCAGTGGTAACCAAAAAGAGATACTGCTATTTAGTGCATTGAAACCTTCAAAATTCAGTTGCCAGGATTCTTGACAGCAGCAGATTTGGGCTGAGATTTAAAGTCAGATTCAGGGCTTGTATTTGGCCAATATCCCTGTTAGGAGTTGGACCAAATAATGAGTGAAGGTTTCCAAGTGTTAGTAAACAGTCCACGAAGGTTGGAGAGTCACATTGAGCAAATGTACTGTGGGTACAGTTGTACAAGGCAGGGACAAAATGAAGATGCATGTAAAATTAGGAACTCAGCTGCCCTTCTGCCTCTATCTATCACTTTATGGATTTGCAACATCACTTATGGCTAAATTCCAGCCATTGCTTTGTACAGGCTATAGTCAGGAATCTCCACTCTAAATCCTAGAAAGGGGAAAGCGAAGAGAATCTACAAACAGGATTAGTGTCAGGGAATGCAAGCGTGATGAATACTTCCACATATTGTATATAATAGCCTAAGTATGTAGGAAATCATTGTGAGGGGAAAAAGCTGTTAATTGGATCATATATGAAATGTGATGTTTTCTTAATGTCTCAGCTGGTGAATAACTGCTTGTTGACTGGTGCATGATCTCTGTTTTTGTTAAATGCTCCTACTAGCAAGCAGCTATGATAATTAATTTTTAAGGGGGATGAAAAAGATCAGCTATGCTTGCAGTCCCAAAAGGATGTCTTTTCTCTGATACACTGGGTTCACAGCTTTAAGTGTAACAAGCAGAAATGGTTGAACAGGCAAAGAGCAAAGGAAACTAGAGTGGCATCAAAATGCAAAGCAGCTCCATTGTAACCTGCAGTTCAGTGGAGAAGCATCATTCTGCTCTCCATCTTCTGCTAAGCAAGGAGCAGCTTTTGGTTTAAAATGAAAAAAGAAAAAGGCAAAAAGAAGTTAAAATGTGTGGTAGTAAGAAAATAACATTAGTAATAATGGTTGTAAAAGTAGTAGTGATCTTACAGGCCCTGTCAGCTTCAGATGGTCTGAGGGCCAAGCGTGTGACTGGGTTTGCAGCACAGTGCTGCAGTGAAGTGGGGGGTCAGCTTGACCATATAGTTCACATCACTGGTTAAAGATGTCTGACTGCACACTCCGTTTTGAGTTCCATTCTCTGAAATCCCATAGAGCAAATGCAGTCAGGTCCCAGCTGTTTCCCAAGGCTGTGGGCCATGCTGCTCGCCAGGCAAGGGACACTCGGCTGGGTTTCGCCCTGCTCTGTCACAGTCCTTTGTACTGGCATCTGCCTTAGGTGATTTGATGATTCTCTGCAAATTCGGCCTGCAAGAACAACGTCGGCAGCAGAAAGTCTTTATGTGTATGGGGAACTAGAAAGTTGTTTGTTTTGTGATGCACTTTCTCTGGGGAAGAATATGTGTATATAAAGCCCAGCTCCCTTTTGAGGAGCTCATTTTCCTCAACCTCATTGAATCTCCTCTTTCAGCAAAAGATCAACAAGGATTCCTTGGTGTTTAGCAGTCATCCCCCTACAAATACTGAACCAGTCTCGGAGAACTGATGCTTCTCTTTGTCAAGGTCCTCTGCAAAGGTGCCCAGCGCCTTCAGCCCCTCCTGGGTTGAAGTATCCCTTAGCACCTTGCCCAGCCCTATAGGTGCATGCTTCTAAACAGCTGCCAGTACACATGAATTTGCATAAAGCATAGAGAAAACTAGCAAAATTATGATGTTCATTGGGATGTTCTGTCTAAATCAAGACTTTTAAGCACTAATAATAATTAACTACTTTCTTAGCAACGAAAAAGTCTTAAATGCCTATTTACTTAACAGTCCCCTAGGGTGTCTTTGTTCTGAATGGGCTAAAAAATCTTAGCTGCAAAATAAGCAGGCGATTCCAATCAATAGAGCCAGAGGACTATATTGATTACCAGAACTCCATTCTTTAGTCATTAACCCTGTGAATTCTTTACAAAAGCTGTACAGGACAATTCCTAACCACTATACCGTTTGAGGAGTCATTCAGATATTTGAATGTCATTAAACTTTCATAGCTTGTTTACAGCCCCTTCAGCCTTGCCTGCTCCAAGACTCCCTGCCACAGCCACACTCTGCTCAGCCAAACTGACAAACAGCATTAATCAAGCCTGGAAATTTTCTCTGCAGATATGTTTTTCTTGTTGTTTGTTGCTAATTTTATTACAGAGCAGGGAGGCGGGTCATGGAAGGAGTGAAATAATAATCTTAATTTTTCCACCTTTCAGCTCCCAGCCAGAATACTCTCGCTGGAGATAAATACACCTTTTACCCACCTTTGCATGGAAAACCAGCCGTGCACACTGTAGGTCCCTACCTCCATACCAAATGCCACAAGGCTCTATGTGGACAGGAGGGGAATGACACAAAGTGGGGCAGTGGGAAGGGAAGGTGCAGTGAGGTGGGAGGAGGAAGAGGAGGAAGTGATGCTGGGATTGCTCGTCAGGTCTCTCCACCTCCTTCCCCTCCGATGGGTCCTGTGGGACCTGCCCCCATGACACCTCCCTCTCAGCAGCCCCGTATTTAAGAGAAGATTCTCGCATTTCAGATTAAGAAAGTTCATGACACACAGTAATGGCTCTAAATGGTAAATTGAATCACACAGACAACAATTGAATAGAAGCGGCACAAATGAGCCAAATGCCAGCAATTTAAGGGGATGCTGAAGGAAGTCCCAGCAATCACAGGTCCACTGCGAGGACAGGCACTCTTCCTCTTCAAAGTTAAGGTGGCTTTATGGTATAGAACTTATAATGTTCTATTACGTAGTGCTGCTTTGCTATGGAAACTTAAGCTGACCAGCATCTTTGTAAAGACACAAGATGGGAAGGGTTATTTCTAAATATTTCTGTAACGTTTATATAAATTTCAGCCACAGCTTGTCCCTGGGCTGCTTGCACCAACTGTTCTTGTATTGGTTATGGCTTTGACCCAATGCCCAGTGGGTATGGGGTTTTGGCTTAGGCTGTGTTTGTGCCTGTTACACAACACAAACAGGGTATTGTTCTTGCTTCGCACTGTACAATGAACATTTTAGCCACCACATAGCAGATGAACACCAAGCAGTCATTTGATCTGAAACTTGAGGATATTCTGAAGTTAAGGAGCAGCTTGAGAAATATACAAGAATCTGCCTAAGCATTTGTAAACAGGGAATATAATTTCAGGGTCGTAACTGAGCAATATTCCTACATTTAGTCACCAAAACCGCCCTGCGTCATGTTTTTACAATTAGTCCTTGATCCACTCTAGTTTCAGTGTTCTGCTGTTATTCTTATCTATTTGACACCCTCACCCCCCCAGAGAGCTATAATGAGCCAGGGCCATTTTCATGACTATTGATTTCATGGCTAAAATTATAGTATTTGATTGTTATTTGACCAAACTGAGATTATTGCATGTTTTGAAAACAAGAGCAGCAACAGCAGAAGTCGTGTCCCTAGAAAAGCACAGTTAGGAGCAGCAAAACAGCACCTCTTCTCCTTTGATCCTGTGGTGCTGTGGGAATGCCCTCCTCAGTGCTGCTGCTTTATAGACAGCAAACAGAAGGCATGCAGAGTTTGAGTGACCTTTCCAATGTCACCTCGTGCATCCTGGCAAGGCGTGGGATAGATCTCAAGCCTCCTTCCTCCCAGCCAGTGCTCTCACCATTGACACACTTCTTCCTGCATGGCAAATGCTCATACCTGCTTGCAGTGCCGCTTGCAGTCAGTGGGCGCATTTCATGGTGAAGAATCTTTCAGGTCTGAAAGGCTTGAATCTCATTATAAATCATAGTAAATAAATAAACACTGGACAACCATTTATGAAGTTTATTTTTCACTGTCACAATGCATTTAGAAAATGTTGCTAATCCCAAAGACTTTCTGCAGGCTCCAGTTCCTGCTTTTCAACAGACAAAACTGATCACAATTAGTAATGGATTTCAGATAAATACAGAAATGTTTTAAGCAAGTTCCTAAATGTGATAAGAACTCCAGATATGTTTCTGAACAGTGTGTTTCAAAGGATTATTAGGACTAAATGGCCCTGGTGCTTCATGTGGACAGAACCATCATTTCTTTGCACTGTGCTTAATTTTTTTCAGTATGAGACCTTTCTGTATTCTATGACACTAAGGGCAGATCTCACCATCCTTTCTTTCCCCATCAGAATGGCAGAATTGTTGATTTTCAGGTTGTGCTGACATTTTCATCTGTGTGAAATCCAATAAGGCTACAAGTATTTCCTAGCAAAACCATGGACACCATCAGGGACTGGCAAAAGAGTGAAGCAGGAGGTCCCATCCCAGCAGGCAGGAGCTACCTGAGCTTTGCCCTATAACTCCATGTGAAATGGGGCAAGTGTAGGTGCAATTGCCATATTTTTGCCTTTTTCTATCAATGTCATAGAAATCATCACTAGTTTAAGTGATGTGAATTTAAGTGAATTTAAACAGCTTGGCTCCAGTAGCTGCGGCTGCTGCCTGCATCTTCAGAGCAAGAGCATTTTGACATCCCATTTTCTTCAAGCTGAGTCACAGGTCAGAGGGCAGCGAGACACCTTTCCCCAGCTGCCAGTGCTATGCTTCCTTAATAAATTAGAACACCCCTGTCCCCAGAGAAACATGTGAGAGCCATTTTTGTGCCTATATGGTAGGATGGCTTGGCTCTGCCTTTGCAGGGCTCCTGTAAAGGTGTTCAATGTGGGAGTGATCCCCATGCTCAGGGCTCTCCTGAGCATCACCATGCCGAGCCTGACCTTCCATTCGTGGTCCCCAGCCAGGGCTGAGCTTCCAAGACACGTGAGACAGCCCTGAGAAACACATACAGCTAAAACTGCTCACCAGTAAGTACACCCTGCTGCATTCAGAGGCTCCTCCAGCTCAGATTAATGTGCCTTGAGGAGGAGTGCAGTATCCTAGGGGACACGGGAGAGCAGGTGGAGGTGATAGAGACCTCCTGCACCCAGTCAAGAAGGGAGGGGAGCACTCCTCACCCACTCTGAGAAACATGTTCCTCTACATTTAACAGAGGAGAGTTGGCTGCTTTCCTGCCCTCTGCTGCCCTTTTACTTAAAAGTCTGACTCCTGGGAATCAGTTTTGAAGAGAGGCTACAGGCAAGCCCCAATCATGCATGCTGGTGCTGTAGCCATGCAGAGCTGAGGAGAGTACAGAGCTTTTGACATACAAAGCTGTTGTACAGGTGGTCCCCTTGCAGCTCATGGGCAGAAATGCTTATGATGCTTTAGTTAGGAGAGCAGGAGGAATATGTGATTGGTGCTGTGTATGCAGCTCAGCAAATCACTGGGATACTCAGGGCTCTCTGTGCATCACCTACCCTTCAAAATATCTGTGCCAGCAACCCAAGAAAATGTTCCCCTCCAGAAGTGCCATGTGTTACTGCTTTCATCTCTGAGAAAGCTAGGCCATTTAGCAACAGGTGTCTGCCTACAGACCCTGAAAGATGCTGGTACTGCCATCCTGTTGTGCTTAAGAGCCACAGGCAGAGATGCTTCTGCAGCAGAAATAGGTGCTTAGAGCCTTGTTGTTCTGATTACATCTACTCCACATAAAGCACAGTAACCTAACTGAAGCCAGCAGTCACCCCAGTGTAAAATAGAATCGTGGCAGATCAGAAGCTGGGTTGTAATCCTCTCATTGCCCCAAAGTGAATTTTCCTCTTGGCAGCAGGGCTTAACAATAAATGTTGAATCCTGGCTCATACACAGCTTAGGAGCACGAGCAGCCTTGCAAGAGCTGTGCAGCATTTGGTGGCTGCGCCACACTGCATGGGCAGCAGCCATCCCTGGGGCCACAGAGGGAGCAGAAGACCTTAGAAAGTCTTCCCCATGTGTCCTGGCTGTGAGGGGCTCACAGGGAGCAGCCTCTGCAGTCGTAACTGCTGCCAGTGCTGACATTTCAGAAGGTTTCGCCTTGTCAAGGTGTCACGAATGTTGTCCTCAATGCTGCTTGCTGAAGCTCCTGGTGGTGGCTGCCCTGAAGGCAGTAGGAGCCAAGTGTTTCCCCTGCAAGAGATGGCTCTGTGTCAGGTTTCTGCATCACTGTCGCACATATATCTGATAATATTTACTTACTGTTTGAAAGGAAAATAGCTTTCTAAAGCCATTATTTCTTTCACTTGTCTGCTGTCATAAAGGTCTTTGTGACGGAATAATAGAGGATTCATGCACAAAAATGGACAGATACCATCTGGGTAGGGCAGTGTAAGATCCCTATACCTGTCAGTTACAGTGACACCCTTTGTATATGTAAAGCTAAAAAATACCAACTAAAAGTAAATAGATAAGATGAGCACTGATATATGAAGGACTTCAAAACTGGATTTTCGCTAAAAGTTAGTTTGGGTTTTTTTTTTTTCCTAAGGTGACATTTTATCCTAGCTCATCCCATCTCATCTTTTCCTTTAATCCTTTCTGTCTAGTTTGAGCCCTAGCCTCAACATAGTACAGTCTGTTTATCATTAGTAAGATGTAGTGTATATTAAAGCAGCAATAAGTCATTTAGAGTGTATATCACAGGTTACAGAGAGAATAGGAATGCTGTTTTATTATGCTACAGCTGTAAAGCTTATACTAATACAAAATATTGCTGGCAGTCACCTTGTTTTATTCTTCTTTTAACAACTTACTAACAGCGTGTAAATATAAAAGCAAACTTTGATTTTTCCATCCACATACACTGAAAACTCTTCCAATAAAAATGGTAGGGTGCATTTAACACTGTGACCAGAAATATTGAAATTTGACAGTTAGGAGGTTAAAGGTTTCAAATTTATACACAGAGGTGTTTTGCTCCTGTCATGGTCATAGCAGCTTGCTCAGGATAACCCCTTTTGCTTACTGAACCTTTGAAAAGCAGAGAACATTAAGCAATACGTCTTGGCAGATGCCCTGGGATTTCACACTACCAGCAGAAGCCCATATGCGCACAAAAAGTGAACCTCTTAGGTGAAAACTGGTCAATCCTTTCTGTGTGCTGCTGCTCCGTGTGCTGGAAGCAGCTGTCTTGCACTGCTGCCACCATCCTCTCCACTAGAATTAAGGCAGTTTCTGTAACATTTTTCAGCTATAAAGTGCTACAGCTTTTAATTTCCACATAGATGGCTCAAAAAGGTGGCATCAAGAGAACACCCACAGAAACCAATACTGTGAGGAAATGGCATCAAATAAATAGGTATTTTCTGTTCCTGCTATGAAATACATACATAAACCAAAACAAAATACAATTAAATGTACTTTGCACCCAAGATATAATTGTTTTAGATTTCTCCTAGTCTTTATTTTAGGAATTTCAGCCCGTGGTATTTAGGTGTAGTACAGCATTTGCCTCTTTGCCACCATCTAAGAGAATACATGCAGCTGAGAACAGACAAGGTGCCACA